GCCATGGGTATGACAATATCTTTGAAGAAATGCCACTTTGGGTTTGAAGAATGCAAAGCTCTAGGTCATCGTGTATCAGGCCTATGGGTAGCAGTGGACCAAAACTCAGTAGCAGCAGTACTACAGAAACCTTGCCCAAAAGACAAAAAAGAATTGAGTTCATTTTTAGGTTTTACAAGTTATTACAGAGCTCACATTCCAAACTTTGGAATTATTACTCATAGCCTCTACAAACTTTATGCAAAAGGAGTAGTCTTTGAAATGACAAAGGAAAGAATTGACACAGTAAACAAAATAAAGCAGATACTTACAACTGCGCCAATCTTATTTCACCCTGACTTTGAGAAACCCTTTAAACTTTACGTAGATGCATCAATTGAAGGATTAGGAGCAGCACTACATCAGACACAAATAATTGAAGGCAAACCAAAAGAAGGACCAATAGTTTTTATATCTAGAAAATTAACAGACACGGAAAGTAGATACTCGTCACCACAGCTAGAATCTTTAGCACTAGTTTGGGCATTGGAAAAATTACACTACTACCTTAATGGTAGCTACTTTGAAGTCATAACAGACTGTACAGGAGTAAGATCTCTAACAAACCTTAAATCTCCAAGTAGACATATGTTGAGATGGATGATGGCAATTCAAGAGTATAAACCTTTCATGACGATTACTCACAGACCAGGAAAATTCCACAACAATGCTGATGGACTTAGTAGAATGGTGTTGCCAAATGATTCCATTAACCCAGCATGGGAACCAGAAGAGATGGAAAGAGACATTCCTGTGATGGGAATTAGTTTATGTCAATTGTCTGAAGAATTTTTTGATGAAGTTAAAACTAGCTATGAAAAGAATAGTAACACACCTAAACTCACCAGGATATTGTCAGCACGTAACAATGATTTAAGTCTATCAAGTACACTTGAACAACCTTGGAAAGATGGATTGGCCCAAGGAAAAATTTCTCTTGAATCTGACTTACTCTATTTTAGAGAAAAACATACTGCAGTTTTAATAATAATAACAACTGAACATATTCAGAAAACATTGCATGTGTGTCACGATGAATTCATGTCAGGACATCTGTCTGAAGACAGGACAGTAGACAGAATCAAGAGTACAGCTTGGTGGCCAAATTGGAGACAAGATGTTGAAGAATATGTAAAGACTTGTGAAAGATGCCAAAAAGCAAATAAAGCCACAGGAAAAAGATTTGGGTTGCTTCAAAGAATAGAAGAACCAACATACGCGTGGGAAGTCATTAACATGGATTTTGTTACTGGCCTCCCACCATCATTGATAAATAACTACAACTGCGTACTAGTGATTGTAGACAGATTTTCTAAAAGAACAAGGTTCTTACCATGCTATAACGAAGCAACAGCAATGGACATTGCTTTACTATTTTGGGAAAGGATAATAAGTGAAGCAGGTTTGCCACGAATAATCATTAGCGACAGAGATCCAAAATTTACTTCAGAATTTTGGAAAAGTCTCCATGCGCTTATTGGGACAACACTAGCCCTTTCCACAGCATACCACCCACAGACTGATGGCCTGAGTGAAAGAAACATCAGCACCTTGACTGAAATTATTAGAAGGTATTGCACTGAAGGACTTTCCTACACAGACAAAGATGGACATACACATGACTGGCATACGCTATTACCAGCTTTGGAATTAGCATACAACAGTAGCATACATAGCACAACAGGAAAAAAGCTTTTTGAAGTAGAAAGCGGCTATTGTCCTAGATTACCAAAAGACCAGATTAAAAACAAGAATGTTGAATTTCATCCAACCTCACTGAGTTTCTTTGACATGCTTGGTAAAGCACGAGCTCGAGCAGCCCAATGCATTGAGGATGCTGTGACGTATAACCAAGACAGATGGAATAAAACTCACAAGGAGCCTAAATTTGTAGTGGGAGAACAAATTCTACTCTCCACTACAAACTTCACAAATTTGCAAGGTCCAAAGAAACTTCAAGACCAGTTTGTAGGGCCTTTTATAATACTAAAGTTTCATGGTAGCAATGCAGTAGAAGTAGCACTAACTGAGGAATTTGGAAGAAAACATCCAGTATTCCCAATTTCATGAATCAAAAAGTTTCATGCTTCAGATAAGAGCAAATTCCCTGACAGGGAAATACCCAAGAAAACTCCTATCAGGTTTGAGACTGACGGAGAAAAAGCTTTCTCACATATAATAAAACAAAGAGAAACACAAGTCAATGGCAAATCTGCAACTCTCTATCTAGTGAGATACCAAAATAGAAGTGCAGATGAAGATGAATGGCTGCCAGCTGATAAAGTACCCAATGGCAAGACAACCCTAAGAGACTTCAGAGCACAAAAAAGAGCTCATAAACCTTCTGAAAAGAAGTAATGACCTCCTTTGAGGGCGGGGAATGTCAGCCCTGAGTACATATACATGTACCCACAACTAACCTGTAAACAGTAAAACCCTATGCATAAAATCAATTAGATGTTACATAATGAACATAAACTGTATGTAACATGTAATACAATGTATCAAAACCTTTATTACATATACAGGGACACTCAAAACAGCATGTAATATGTAATAAAAACACTATTTACACCTCATAACTCAGTGTCAAGAGTTAAAATGCTTATATTACATATCATACATAACATGTATATGTACTCAAGCCTTACTAGTAATAATCAACCCTGAACCAATGTAGTGATAATGACAAATATCACTACAGTTAGGTTTAGAGAGGAGAGTATATAAACCCCTCCTCTCTCAGCCTTCAGAGATTCCCCCAAGCAATTATTACTCTACACTTTTAAAGAACAATATTAAAGTTCCACAGAAGTAAAATATCAAGAGTCTTACAAAGATAAGACTAGTGATAAACTTCTTACAAACTTTAATCAGCTTCCTGATTAAAAGTAAGTAATACATTCCTTCACATCCCTCTGGATCCTCTACTTCCCCCAAGTAGAAATCAAACTAGGTTGGTGACCTCTAACAGCCCCAGGTTAGTGACCTTAAGAAGAACTTCCAGGTTGGTGACCATAAGAATAACCCAAGGTTAGTGACCATAAAACAACTAGTTTGGTGATCTTTATCTCACCCTTTAAATCAGTCAAATAGAAGATTAAAGGAGGGTCTTGGATCCAACCCTCATCCATTATTAATAACACTAGTTATTATTATTATTTATAATCTCCTCTTAAGGAGTCAATTAACTTTAGTCTGTCAGGGTTTATCCTTTCAGACCAGTATATTCATTTTCTCCTCCTCTTTCCTTGTTTATAATTCCTTGTAATTACATTATACTAGCACATCAGCGGCGGGCTGCCGCTACCAAAAGCTCAAAGTACAAAAGAATATACTGAGTTATTCAATGTTCCCTCTCATTAATATAATTACAGGCTGGAAATTCAAAACATTGTAAAAAGGAATATGCTAAACTGATCCAGAATCAATACACAACTTTTATTTGGTCTAATTTTTTCAATTATTTCATTCATTTTCCACAAAACTTTAAACTAACCATCAAAATGATACCTAAACCTGAGTTCAATACACCTCGCAATAGCTTTGATTACATTCGAACCAGGTGATGAAAACCATAATTATTCTATTATCCAGATCAATCAGTTTTTTGGATGATTGGTTGCGCATATCATAAACACTTTTTAATCTACATCTTCCCAGCAAAGAAAATGAATGTTAGAAGTTGACTAAATTTGAGAAAAAGGGAAGAAAATTTAAATGACTTTTTGGAATTTACGAATCATTTGAAATGATTTGAAAATCCAAGTTGGCCATTGAAGTTCTGCTTCAAGCATCAAAATAAATAAAAAAAACTGATATTTTGATCAGGGTGAAAAACAAAAGTTGAGAAAGGGTTTGGGGGATATTCACCTTGGAATGATCTGAATTATGATCCAGATTGAATTGATTCTGATAGTTCAATTAATTTTCAAATTCAATCAATTTAAAAGCTCTGTATTGTTCAAGTTCAATTAAATCATCTATAGCTTTTTCAATCTGTTCACCATCATCATCATTTTTGTTTTTGTTATTCAAGTTTTGAAGAGATTGTTCACTTGAATCTATCAAATTGACCAAATCCGATTGAGAGTTTGTAAACTTTAGATATCATTGAATCAGTGAGCCATTTGTGAAATGGTTTAGTAGATCAGATGATAACTTAACTTGTTCATGAAGTGTATTTTTTCTTTTTTGTTAACCTTTCCATTCCTTCCATTCAATTCCTTCTTCACAATCTGTACTATTCACAAATCTCTCCCACGCAGTTCTCAAACCCTTCTCCAGATTAGCAAACCAGCGAGATGTATTGACTAACGCTGATTGATCTCGCGCCTCGAACAATGAACATCGCAATAGAACTAACTCTCCAATTCCCGCAGCCAGACAAGTAAGCGCCTGCCGTGGTCCTTGCTCGGGACCGACCATCAGCAAGATCTTCTGATAATTGAGACCCGTTGCTAGCTGGATTGTACGAGCTTTGTAATCATCGAGATCGGTGGGTATCATTCGTGTTCCAAAACCGGTGGCAAGAGCGATACTGGCTGCGACTTGGCTACACATCTTGTGAACATGTGCTCACAAGGGAATGTCAAGATTGGTGTGCCGCTCGGTAGGATACTATTGGGACAAGACCAGATTGATCAGCACAAGTACATAGTTCAGAAACATAGATTAGCGACAATCAAAGAGTAAACAGAACCAGGAAGATATGGGTTACGCACTCAGCCGCAATCGTATGTACGTTGCACTGACGAGATTGAGGAAGATGTGGTTGGAAGTCAACTCATGAGCGAGCGACTCAAATAGACAACTCATATACCCACTGTAAGAAACATGACATACCTTGGTTGAATCCAAGAAAAGATTGGCAATACGACCTCGTTGAATGTGGAGTGCTTTCTTTGCGACCTGGCCAAGAAAAAAATCAGCAAGGGTGCACGCTTTCAGAGTGGTGTTCATTAGTATAGCCTTACACCTGTAAACATGATCCTTGAAGCTACTTCCAGACCCGCCCATTTTTCTGCCGTGAGCTTAAAAAAAGGTTCTCCAGGTGTTGGAAACCTCAGAAGCCATAGGATAGACGTGAGAGCCAGGTAGTAGAGTGGAAGCAAAAACTTGATGAAGGCGGGATCCCATCGAGCTTGGCCCCGTGTGACATAGGTGCAGCCATCATATCCTGCAGACTTTTACCAGTGTGAGCAAGACAGTACTGGTGGTTTGAGTGGGAGATTGAAGAGCGGGGTTTTGACTGAGATCAGAGCCGTTTGAAGAATGTGAAAGCGAATGATGCTTGAGAACAGGGAGTATGCCTTTCAAGGCGCTCATGACCGTACAAACTAATTGGTCAAGGTTGTTGGGTAGCAGGAGTATGCAGGGTAAGATGCCACCGCCCAGTTTCAACAAACAATCTTTGATGACCTGCCGTCGTTGGCGAGTAAAGCGTAGTGAATCTGCAATGACAGTATTGAGGGATTCTTCATTCGGGTCCCAAAGGCCAGTATTGGAGAGCACCTTGATAACGTGAGGTTCATGACTGGACTCAGGTCCGTTTGCGTTTACTACCATCATTGATAACCCAACCAAGCACATTGCCAGAACAACATCTACAAGTCCATATTCACCGGCCAAATCGGCAGGAATTGGTGAAGCGTGGTTGGGAGCTTCAACAACTGGTTTCATTTGTGGGACCCCAAATGCCACCTCGAAGGCCTTTTCATATTCATTACAAGCCTTGAGTGGCTTCCCGGTGGCAGCAGGCAGCCGAAGTGCGCGAGCGGGGTCAGGAAGTGTGCCAAGGAGCTCACCCTCTACAAACGTACATAATTGTAAGGCTTCTGTGTATTGAGGTTGAGGTTTCTGGCCATTAGAATTTGACTGAGCAGGGACCGGATGTGATTCAGGATTACACAGAACACCATGAAGATTGTCGAATGCATCAAAGTAGGTCCTGATTAGCACACAAATAACATATAGTTGATCGGAGAAGCAAGTCATGAAATGGTTTACAGTAAGATCGGATGATAATTTAACTTGTTCATGAAGTGTATTGAATTCAATTTATGGTGTTGGATTTATTTTTTCTTGTGAACATTATCCAATCTATTGTTTGGATGGAGGTCTTTCTAACCGAAATGGTTTGTCCTTTGTCTTCTGGAACTCAATGTTGATGTGCATGGTGAGTTGATTAGCTGTTTGGTCTTGCTGGATAACATCATGGCTGATGTTTATCGGATTGTTGAGAAATGATAATTAAGTTTTTGTTGATGATGCTATTGAATGATATCTTGATTCTTGATGAAACAATGAATTGGTGATTGCTGCTGATCTGAGGAGTTCAACTTGAATTCGAAGTATAGTTGGTCAAGAAGTTGGATCAAGTGGTATAGATCATATATTCAATGTTGGATGCTTGTGGGTTGAAGATACCAGCAAATGAGTAAATCTAGGGTGAAACACGTGGATGTCAAAATGAATGGCTTGGACGTGTAAACCTGGGAATTTTTAGTAGGGTTTGGGAGTTTAGTAGGTTTTGTCTGGGAACATGGTTTCCCTTTAACTTGAATGATTTGAAATATAATTATAATTGCTAGAATTATCAGACCCACCTTACCCAATTAGTGAGCCTGTTATGAACTGGTTCTATTTCACTTGAGTGACATATTCACATTACATGTCACAAGCTCGAGAACCATCTTATAGTTGTAGATACATTGCCTGTACAGATTTTCCCTAATCCGACAATCCACATAGGAAGACTGGTAATAGATACAAATCCTCACCAGAACTCCCTTGACCCTCGTCGCCGAAAACCCCCAAGTCTGTCCATAACATATTGTCGGATCTATAGACGAGACTCAAGGACTATAGATAGATCACCAAGAAGAAACAAGTAGAATTGACTTAAATCGAAAGAAAACCGAACCTCAAGATTCAGAATACTAGCGAATCTCGACCTCATTAGAAAACCTTATCTAGATCTCAGAAATTCAAAGTTGAAAAGACCCAAGAAACTATTCGAAATCGAAAACCTTATTAACTAATCTGCATACGCTGAAACCGAATCCACCAGAACCTTATCTTACTTACTAAAAACTCTGTCGATCCCGACTGTGATCCCTGGACTAGCAAACGCAACCACGTCTCCATCTTACCGTGCTCCTTTAGAGGAGGAGGACTCTGATAGTGAAACTCCGATCCCTTTTCTCGACGCCGATTCTAGCCTTACCGGTAGCGAGATCGATATGTCTGACACCAACATGACCTCTCTCGAAGACATACAACGCAAGCTTGCGGAGCTTTCCACCTCATTGGCTGAAGAACGCCTGATGCGAGGACAAGCTGAAGCCAGATACCAGCAGTCCGAAGCTCGTTTAGCGGCGTTGGAATCCCGAGGCCCATCTGCACCTGCTGCAGCCACTCAACCACCCACTGCGCCACAGCCACCACCAGCTGAACCGGTCCTGAAGGGCCCCAAAGTCTCGACGCCCGATAAATTCAACGGCGCTCGAGGCGAACCCGCAGAGATCTTTGCGAGTCAAGTCCAGCTCTATATGCTGGCACACCCCTACCTCTTCCCCGACGACCGAAGTAAGGTGGTTTTCTCGCTGTCTTACCTCACGGGAGCAGCCAGCAGTTGGGCGCAACCCTTGACAAAGGAGTTATTCGACCCCGCTACCGCCCACCTCGTAACCTTTGAACGCTTCGTTACAAATTTTAAAGCTATGTATTTCGATACTGAGAAGAAATCGAAGGCGGAACGCGCGCTGCGAAACTTATCGCAGAAGACCACCGTGGCCGCGTATACCCATGAATTTAACATTCACGCAACTTCTACTGGCTGGGAAACTCCGACGCTCATTAGTCAATACGAGCAAGGTTTGAAAAAGGAGATTAGAGTGGCAATGGTTATGACGCAAGAGGATTTCACGTCAATTGAACAAATCACTAATTTAGCTATCAAGATAGACAGTAAATTACACGGCGCGACCAACCCAACCTTCCATACGCCAAGCACGAGTGCAGGAATCTCAGACCCCAATGCCATGGATTTATCAGCCGCCTACGTTAGATTGTCCGAAGAGGAACGAGCACGACGTATGCAAGCGGGTTTATGCTTCCGCTGCAATGGCCAGGGTCACATCTCCAGCGCATGTCCCGATCGTAGAGCTAGTAGGAAAGGGAAGGGTCGAGGTGGTTATCAATCAAAAATAGCTGGATTGGAAATTAAAGTCGCAGAGTTGAGTAATCAGAGGGTGAATCATACCAGTAGTTTAGAAGGAGTAGGACGAGCTGAAACTTCAAAAAATGGAGAAGCTCAGGATTGAAGGTTGTGCCCATCCTGAGCCACCTGGAGAATTTGTCATCAATTAATGTGGGATCTAGTAGAATGAACTTGTGCAATACAAACGACCCGCGCATTTTTTTACACACCACATTATCCATGTCCCAAATTCCCCGAGCCACACCGTCCCAAACATTTCCCGCTACGTTCCTCATTGATTCAGGTGCTACGCACGATGTGCTCAGTGAATCATTCGCCTACCACGCTGGCTTGATAGCCGGTGCTGATCGACATGACCAATTGATCACTGGATTCGACGGCTCTGAGAGCCGATCTTCCTTCAAGACCCACCTTTTTATCAAATCCGACCCATTACCGACCCCATTCATCATTACAAGACTCAAAGACTCGTACGACGGCATACTTGGCATGCCATGGATCAAGAAAAACTTTCACCTGATTGACTGGAGTAAAAGTATGGTACACCCAGCCGAGACTCACGTTGCAACCACTTCATTGGTTTCGTATTGGCCGAAAACACCCTTATCTGGCCACTCGTTGGACCCCATGAGGGACGCTAGGCACAATTACGAGGGGATGTGTGTCAATTCTGACACGTTAGCATCCCCGCAATGTGAGTTCGAGAGTCCAGTTAATCCTAATCACCTTGAAACAGATGACAACCCTCTATCTCCCGATAGTTCCCCCCTTATCACGATTACACCCACCACGAACAACGAAAACCACGAACACATCACGACAAAAGACCCGGATACGAGCATTGCGGCCGTAGTGAATACGGCCTTGTCCGTCCCGCCACAGAACCCCGACGATCCCAAGGAGGAGCCTCAGGGGCACGCAAGGAACAGTGACGAGGGGGCTAATGTCTTTTTAGATATATCAACGCCCCCGCAATGTGAGTTTATTACTGATTCCAACCCATGTTCAACCCGAACAGCTGGCAAGCCTGTTTCTCCCTTGAATAACACATCAATCCAGGTCACAGCAGCCAAGACGTCCTGGTCAACCTCAGCACGACTCGCCGCCGACAAAAAGAAACTCGAACCCGTCAAAGCTCTAGAGGAAATTGTCCCGTCTAGGTATCATAGGCACTTACACATGTTTAGGAAGTCCAATGCCCAACGCCTACCCCCGAGACGCCGCTACGACTTTCGTGTCGAACTGATACCAGGAGCTCAACCGCAGGCTAGCAGGATAATTCCATTATCACCAGCCGAGGACGCTGCTTTGGAGGAATTGGTGAATTCAGGCTTAGCCAACGGGACTATCCGTCGAACCACTTCGCCATGGGCTGCCCCTGTGTTATTCACAGGGAAGAAGGACGGCAATCTGCGCCCTTGTTTTGATTACCGTAAGCTCAACGCCCTAACCGTCAAGAACAAATACCCACTACCGTTGACTATGGACTTAGTCGACAGTTTGCTGGATGCCGAAGACTTTACCAAGCTTGATATGCGCAATGCGTACGGTAATCTTCGAGTAGCAGAGGGTGATGAGGATAAACTGGCCTTTATATGCAAACAAGGCCAGTTTGCACCTCTGACTATGCCTTTTGGGCCAACAGGCGCCCCTGGTTATTTCCAATACTTTATTCAAGATATCTTATTGGGACGTATAGGTAAAGACACCGCGGCCTTCTTGGATGACATTATGATTTATACAAAGCCTAAAGTAGATCACGAAGGCGCTGTTGATGGCGTACTTGACGTCCTATCCAAGCATACACTCTGGCTGAAACCCGAAAAATGCGAGTTCTCGAAGAAGGAAATTGAATACCTTGGCCTTATTATCTCTAAGAATAAAATCAGAATGGACCCGACGAAAGTGAAAGCCGTCAAAGAATGGCCAGCACCCCAATCAGTATCTGAACTCCAAC